CCTCATGCAACACTCCAAAACCATTATGGGCTAGTCCCATTTTTGGATATGGTCTAAAGCAGACAGGGGGCGTGACCCGTTTGGGCTTGCCCAATTGCGAGCCCCCCTGCCTGCTTACGATACCGCGTGGCTAGGGGCGCTGAAGGGGGCGAACCACACCCCTGCAGCGCCTAGCGGCCACGAATACATACGGGGGGACTGGGCAACCTTTCGATGCCCTGGGGGGACCGCACTAACGATCAGTTGTCCGTAGGTCACCAATCTGGACCGCCAACACCGCTGCCGCCCTAAGGCCAAGATCGCTACCGAGGACCGCCCGCAAACATTACCGAGGACCGCTAATCGTACTCGCTGCCATTCAGGGCCGCCGCCACCATCATCATCACCGCTAGGGCCCGGACCGCTGCCCTCATCACCCTAAGGCCGACATTTCTGCCGAGGAACGCCCGCCAGCAACACAAAGAACCGCGATTTGTACTCACTGTCATCCAGGGCCGCCGCAATAATCATCGTCACCGCTGGGGCCCGTACCGCTGCTCTCATCACCGGGGCCGCTATTACCACTGCCGCCCCAAGGTCGAAGCTACAACCGTGGGCCGGCCGACATCATCACCGAGGACTGCGAACGCTAGCTATCGCCAACCAGGGCCGCTGCCACCGTTGCCACCATCAGGGCCCGCTGCTACTGTCTTCATCACTGGGGCTGCCGCAATTATCGTCGCCCCAGACCGCCGCTACTACCCGTCACGAGTACGATAATCGCTACTGCGAACGTCAACCCTCGTCGTCCAGAACTGCTGTCATCGTCGTAGTTAAAAAGGGCCGCATTCGCTCTTCGCCACAATCAGGGCCGCATACAACATCACTGCGGGAGGTCTCTGCCGCCATCATTATTATATGGGCCACTGCCAACGTCACCGCTAAGGCCGCCACCACCACTGCAAGGGAACTGCAGGCAGCCGTCGCAGTCGCCGTCACAACCGCCGCGACTGCTCTCATTGCCACGCTCTTCACTACGACTGACGCGTACCACTGCCAATCTTGCTGTCATCAGTAGCACTCCCGTCGCCGTACAATTACCCGCCGAATGATCTCCGACACCGACTGCCGACTCTCTCTCTCTTTACCTTCCGCTCTCCCCTGTAGGACAAGTTGCCGGGATTCTAGATAGCCGCGTGTGTGTGTGTTCGACTTAATACACAAATCATTGTGTTTTATTTGGTGGGGGTTAGTGGGGCCCTCGCTGGACTCTGGAGCGGCTGAGCATACCTCAGGCTTCGACAAAACCCACCTCATAAATGGCGCCCGAGCAGGGACCCAGCTCTGCAGGCGCATGTGCAAAAACCTCAACAAGCACCAACACTGCGGAAGCGGGCTCATCGAACACACCACAACCAGTAAATGACACACGGATGAGCGAAAATGATACCACCACACTAAACATTGACACTCTTGGCTGGATATATCTCTTGAAGAAAGAGAGATTGGTGGAAAAATGCAAGAGGCATCATATATCCGTTGAAGGGAGCACCGTCGCTGATCTGCGCAGCACTCTCAGCAACTTCGTCAGGACGAAGAGAAACCTCAAATCGACCGAAAGCCTTCTCAAAGAACTGGAGATGGCCACCGAAGAAGCTGGCATGGCGAAATCGCCACACGAACAAACTCCTGCAGTTAAACTTGGCGAATCCCTCTTACACACCGGGGGAGCAAGACTAATCGCCCAGAAACGAGACCATATGAGCAATGCCGAGGTAATGAGCACTGTCCGCCATTGGGACGTACACTACTCCGGCGGCGACACTCTGCCCGACTTCTTGGAGAGGATTGAGGAGCTGGAATGCTACCAAATCACGCCAGACCAACTCCTCCCAACCCTATCCGAAATACTCCGCGGCAAAGCACTCCAATGGTTCCGCGTCAGAAGGCCACACATAACCACCTGGGCTGTATTCTGCACCGAAGTTGAACGATTCTTTCTTCCCCGTCGACACGTAAGTCAGTTGGAAGACGCCATTCGCCAGCGGAAACAGCTAAACCGAGGAAAGGCCAAGGACTACATCCTCACCCTCCAAACGCTAATCCGACAGCACCCAACTATGTGCAACGAAGACCACTTGGAGCGCATCTACGAAGGCTTGCGAGTGGAGTACCGACTATTCATAAAGCGGAGCGAGTTCCAGACTATCGAAGAATTGATCGAACTCACAGACGAATATGAGCTGCTCAAAAGCGAGGAGGCCAGGCAAACCAGGCAAGCAGCACACTGCCTATCCACTCCAGACGAACGATACGATGGGAAGAACACCTGCTGGAGATGCAAAAAGCGCGGACACCACCGATTTCAGTGTAGATGCGGACGAGATGGTACCCTCTCCAGGAATTGCCTGTGTCGCAAGGAGAAAACAGCCACCCTTAAGTCACCCGCCGATAAAACAACCACGTCTCGACCAGGCTGGCAAGGCCGCGATGGCCGCTTCTATGTGAACGTCCTAGTCGAAGGCATGGATGTCCGAGCCCTAATCGCCACTGGGGCCACGTTAACATACATCAATGAATACCTATGCAAGCATCTGGAGCAGCGAAATATTCAGCCACAACTCGACAAACAAAACGTGCAACTAGCAGTCCAACGGGCGTCGCAAGTACGCGTTCCTATCCCGTCAAAATTGAATATAACGGCCGAGCAACAAGCAGACTGGTTGTCGTGATCCCCAATCTGGCCGAAAGAATGATACTGGGAATGGACTTTTTGGCGCAACGAGGCATTGTCGTGACATTTGATAACCAGCCCCTAGCTCCCGCCCCACTGCCGAGAGCCGGTGCTGTTCTGTGCAGCTTAACGGAAAGGACGCACCTGAAAGAGAAGCAAAACAAAAGACTGGCCGATTTCTTGGAAATCCACAAAGCTCGATTTTCCAAAAGTACCGGGCCAAGAAGCACCACCGCCGAACGCGAGATCACACTCCGGCACCATCGACCACTACAACAACGCCAGTACCCACGCAATCCTGCCATCCTGCAGGTGATACCGAGACAGCCACATCCATCCGTAAACGCCGTTGGTTACAACCAATCCCACCGGACGAACCACAGCCTATTGCACCATGGCGACCGCCATTTGAGGCAGTGCCATGACCACCAAACAAACCGCGGATCCTTAGCGCTAAAATANCTTGCGAGTGGAGTACCGACTATTCATAAAGCGGAGCGAGTTCCAGACTATCGAAGAATTGATCGAACTCACAGACGAATATGAGCTGCTCAAAAGCGAGGAGGCCAGGCAAACCAGGCAAGCAGCACACTGCCTATCCACTCCAGACGAACGATACGATGGGAAGAACACCTGCTGGAGATGCAAAAAGCGCGGACACCACCGATTTCAGTGTAGATGCGGACGAGATGGTACCCTCTCCAGGAATTGCCTGTGTCGCAAGGAGAAAACAGCCACCCTTAAGTCACCCGCCGATAAAACAACCACGTCTCGACCAGGCTGGCAAGGCCGCGATGGCCGCTTCTATGTGAACGTCCTAGTCGAAGGCATGGATGTCCGAGCCCTAATCGCCACTGGGGCCACGTTAACATACATCAATGAATACCTATGCAAGCATCTGGAGCAGCGAAATATTCAGCCACAACTCGACAAACAAAACGTGCAACTAGCAGTCCAACGGGCGTCGCAAGTACGCGTTCCTATCCCGTCAAAATTGAATATAACGGCCGAGCAACAAGCAGACTGGTTGTCGTGATCCCCAATCTGGCCGAAAGAATGATACTGGGAATGGACTTTTTGGCGCAACGAGGCATTGTCGTGACATTTGATAACCAGCCCCTAGCTCCCGCCCCACTGCCGAGAGCCGGTGCTGTTCTGTGCAGCTTAACGGAAAGGACGCACCTGAAAGAGAAGCGAAACAAAAGACTGGCCGATTTCTTGGAAATCCACAAAGCTCGATTTTCCAAAAGTACCGGGCCAAGAAGCACCACCGCCGAACGCGAGATCACACTCCGGCACCATCGACCACTACAACAACGCCAGTACCCACGCAATCCTGCCATCCTGCAGGTGATACCGAGACAGCCACATCCATCCGTAAACGCCGTTGGTTACAACCAATCCCACCGGACGAACCACAGCCTATTGCACCATGGCGACCGCCATTTGAGGCAGTGCCATGACCACCAAACAAACCGCGGATCCTTAGCGATAAAATATTTCACTGCCCGCCGCTCGCCCACGTTCTGCCCAAGCCACACGCCCAGCTGTTGGCCAAATCGGACCACACAGCCTTGGCAGCGACAACAGCCGCCAACACCACCAATCAAGCAGCAGCAACCACCAATTCAGCCCGGGAGACCGCCGCCGAACCAAGGGTCACCCAACCATCACCGAATGCGGGCCCGGCTACAGAGGATGAGGAGCCGGCCACCAGGGACACAGCTGATCCATCCAAAAAATCTGCGGTTGAGACGATCCAAAATACCCGAAAGCGATGGCGATTCCGATGGAAGATGCACCGCATGCTCCATACAAATAGACGCGAGCCACGCCATCGTCCGTTTCGGCGAAAGAACCAAGGTCATCGAATTCACGGATTAGACAAACAGCACCTATTTTCTTCAAAAGGAAATTTGTAAAATTATTTTTGAAATCAATTAAGCTTAAGATAAAAAAAAAAAAAAACAATTACATATTCATTATATAACATTTTTCCAATCATTGTAGAAGTAAATCTGCATTTCACCACCTAGTTATAGTTATATCAAAACTTACGAACTCATTTTCGAAATATTTTAAGAAATAAGAAAACTTGTATTTGTATAACAAAAAAAAAAATTGCATAAACAAAATAAAATAAGATCCCCCCACACACATACCGACCGAGCCAGTGTACAGTGTACTCTGGTGAAGAATACCGCAAATTGTCGTCCGCCGAAGTGGGAGGGGGACTGTAACGTAGCTTCGCCTACGCTACAATAACATATTCGACATCACCCTAGCATGCGCCTTACAACTGCACATAGGTACAAATATATAAACATACATACATACATACTGGTAGACGTACACACAAACTAACATACCAACGAGACTAGAAGCACCCCTATGTACATACATACGTACACACATACGCATACACGAATCTGGCATGGCAAGCGCGTACAAATTTCGCAAACACCAACCTGGATAACCATGAGCACTAACATATGGAAGAAATTCGCTACTCAAAACACATAACGCGGAATAAGCCCACTCACTTCTCAAACAGCTCATACAAAGCCGGAGCTAAAGCTGCCAGCATGAACTCAACCAGTATCAGTTGTCCGTAGGTAAGCACAGAGCGTATCCGGGGCTTCGGGCCTATTTGAGCCGCTCTTGGCTTTCCTCCTCGGAGGAAGACTGATTGGTTGAAGGGGGCTGCAAGGGGGGGTATACCCCTCATGCAACACTCCAAAACCATTATGGGCTAGTCCCATTTTTGGATACGGTCTCAAGCAGACAGGGGGCGTGACCCGTTTGGGCTTGCCCAATTCCGAGCACCCCTGCCTGCTTACGATACCGCGTGGCTAGGGGGCGCTGAAGGGGGGCGAACCACCCCCCTGCAGCGCCTAGCGGCCACGAATACATACGGGGGGACTGGGCAACCTTTCGATGCCGGCGGGGGGGGGAGCGCACTAACGATCAGTTGTCCGTAGGTCACCAATCTGGACCGCCAACACCGCTGCCACCCTAAGGCTGAGATCGCTACGGAGGACCGCCCGCAAACATTACCGAAGACCGTTAATCGTACTCGCTGCCATTCAGGGCCGCCGCCACCATCATCATCACCGTAGGGCCCGGACCGCTGCCCTAATCATCGGGGGCGCTACTACTACTGCCGCCCCAATGCCGACATTTCTGCCGAGGACCGCCCGCCAGCAACACAGAGAACCGCGATTTGTACTCACTGTCATCCAGAGCCGCCGCAATAATCATCATCACCGCTAGGGCCCGTACCGCTGCTCTCAACACCGGGGCCGCTATTACCACTGCCGCCCCGAGGCCGAAGCTACAACCGTGGGCCGCCCGACATCATCCCCGAGGACTGCGAACGCTAACTATCGCCAACCAGGGCCGCTGCTACTGTCTTCATCACTGGGGCTGCCGCAATTATCGTCGCCCCAGGCCGCCGCTACTACCCGTCACGAGTACGGTAAACACTACTGCGAACGTCAACCCTCGTCGTCCAGGACCGCTGTCACCGTCGTAGTTATAAAGGGCCGCATTCGCCCTTCGCCACAATCAGGGCCGCATACAACATCACTGCGGGAGGTCGCTGCCGCCCTCATCATTATATGGGCCACTGCCAACGTCACCGCTAAGGCCGCCACCACCACTGCAAGGAAACTGCAGGCAGCCGTCGCAGTCGCCGTCACAACCGCCGCGACTGCTCTCATTGCCACGCGCTTCACTACGACTGACGCGTACCACTGCCAATCTTGCTGTCATCAGTAGCACTCCCGTCGCCGTACAATTACCCGCCGAATAGTCTCCGACACCGACTGCCGACTCTCTGTCTCTTTACCTTCCGCTCTCCCCTGTACGACAAGTTGCCAGCATTCTAGATAGCCGCGTGTGTGTGTGGGTTTGTTCGACTTAATACACAAATCGTGTTTTATTTGGTGGGGGTTAGTGGGACCTTCGCTGTACTCTGGAGCGGCTGAGCATACCTCAGCCTTCGACAAAACCCACCTCATAATATTAAAGTAATAAAGAAAGTTATAACTAAACGAATAAAGTGTAAAGTGAAGGGGAATATAAAAATATATTGGTGAAGTGGCTTCTTTAAGTAGAATGGGAGTGATAAAGGTACGCTAATTTCCGAATTTTACAAAAAAGGGCATATTTCAAACACGATTTGTAAATAAATTAGTGACCAAAGATTACAAAAGTAGGTGTTGACTATAAGTGTGTGCAAATTTTTTTGGATCCGGTCACCGCTTTGGACGCAATACCCCGAAATAGTTAGGCCACTTACTAAACAGTACCCGAATACGTGGAAAATGTATGTAATGGACGAACAACTTCCTAAACGGGGTTAGATCACCGAAACAACAGCCCTTGGTCGGGTAAAATCTGAGTCATTCCGGTACGTAGAACCGGCTGTCGTGGGAATGTTCAAAACTGAATGAATAGAGTTGCCTTGCGTTTTTGCTGTGAACCGCTTGTTTCTTTTTTAAGCTTAGTTTTTCTGTATACTGGGCTTTATCCCTTAGATAATAAGGACCAATTGCTGAAAATTTCAAAGCAGTCCGCTTATTATTAAAAAGGTTATGTTATTGTAAGTAATAAAATGTACATGCACTCGGCTTTGATCGCCAGTGTACATACTAACGTGCATATACAAATTCCAACATGAATTCAATAGCAGCAGCTGCAGCTAAATTTTATTCATTTTTATACCCGAGCGCACTTGTGCACAAGGGTATTATAACTTTGTTCACATAACGGTTGTTTGTAACAGCCAAAACGAATCGAGATAGATATAGACAAATGATCTGTCCGTCCGTATGTCCGTGTACACGATAACTCGAGCAAAAATTAAGATATCTCAACGAAATTTGGTACGTAGATTGCCTTTTACCCAAAGTAGGTTGGGAAATCGGACCGTAACCACGCCCACTTCCCATATAACGGTAGTTTTCGAAAATACGAAAATGTGATATTTTAGTAACTACTGAAGCTTATTCACTGAAAATTGATATTTACAATGATTTTTAGACGTAAAATAATAATAAAAATGTTTGGAAAATGGGCGTTGCCCCGCCCACTTATGATTACATTTGTATACCTTGGTACCCGCTCCACCAATTTCTCCCAAACTTGTCCCGTTTGTTGGCCTTGGCACCACATACCAAATGGCTGAAAATTANTTCACTGAAAATTGATATTTACAATGATTTTTAGACGTAAAATAATAATATAAATGTTTGGAAAATGGGCGTTGCCCCGCCCACTTATGATTACATTTGTATACCTTGGTACCCGCTCCACAAATTTCTCCCAAACTTGTCCCGTTTGTTGGCCTTGGCACCACATACCAAATGGCTGAAAATTATAAAAATCTGAAAATAACCACGCCCACATCCCATATAACGGTAATTTAGAGAAATACGAAATCTTCGATAAATCAGTAAATACTAAAGCTAATTTATTCACGTTTATGGTAAAATTTCTGAAAATGGGCGTGGCACCGCCCGCTTATCACGAGTTATGTATACCTCGGTAACCGTTCAATCAATTTGTATCAAACTTGGTCCGATTATTTCGCTTACCACATAAAAGCAAAATGTTTAATTTATTATTGAAATCGGATTAAAATTACTCGCACTTTTCTTATAACGGTAAATTTTAGAAATACTTGAAACTTCGATATTTTGAAATTTAAGGACGCTAATTTACCCAAAATTGATACTAAAAACACTCCCTTGAAATAAGTAACATTATTATAGAGTTTTGAAAAGTGGGCGTGATACCGCCCACATCGAACCATATAAGTTTATCTCATTAAGTATAACTGAACATACTATCGAAATTGTTAGAAATAGGGGTAAAACCACTCTTCTTACCATGTAACGGTAGTTTTCAGAAAAGTTAATAACTATATTTAATAATTGCGCCGGGTATTTAATGTAACCGAACATTGACTTTTTTACTTGTTTGTTTTCTAATTATTTTCAATTTCTGTATAAACAAATTCAGATATAAATTGCAAATCCTTATTGTTTTTATATTGGCACAAGGTGCTGGCTCATAACTTGGATCATATATGAATCCTGAAAGATTCATAGAAGAGTAAAAAATTTTTTGTTTTTGAAACTCACATTTCTTATCTACCTAGGACTCCTTTCGGACTCATAT